ACAGTTTGAGAACCGGTGACCAGAAAAGCTCCGTGGGAAACTCAATTTTTTGATTCTCTTTAAGCTGAACCAGCTCAGTTTTGTAAATACCTGTTTGCAAGTGTTTACTAAAACACTTGGAACGTGACAGCAAGCACAGAGTGAAGTGTAAAGTTCATGTCAGGGGTAGAGATGTGTGATCTTGGTTCATGGAAGAGAGGAAATCTAATCCAGATTTCCACTTCAGCAAAGATGTAGCTCACTAATAACTTTTACAAATTGCAGGGAGATTCTTAGACAAGAAGTATTTACTGAAGATTTTCTTGCAAATTTGCCTGTCAATAAATGTTGGTTAGAAGATTCCTATTGAACAGAAGATAAATACTAAGTCAGAGGAGAGGTTTTTTATGATATTATGATGAGTTTTGAGGAGGCAAGTAGTAGATAGAAGACTTAAGCATTCAAAACAATTTAACATAGGAAATGTGTCTGTTCAATTAGTCTGGAAAAAGAGAATTTTAATTTAAAAGCATTGCTCAGTGGAGAGTCTAACTCTTGTCCCATTTATTATAAGAGGCACAGAAGTGTTTTTTATAGCATTGACTGGTATATTGATTAATTTCTAAAATTCATGTTCCACACCTAACAAATTGCCTTAGTCGGTGGCATCCCAAAAACACAGCAAGTTTTCTCAAGCAGTTCATCACACAACGGTTCTATCATGAGAATTCCAGTTCCTTTTGTTGGCACTCTGTTTTTCAGGAGGTGCCCAGAATAACAATGATGCAGAATAAGCACCAACCCCTCCAAAGCCAACCTGGGGAGCTGCAATTTAACTGAATGCTAATTGAGCACCCGGAATGGAAAACAAGAGGTCCAGAAAAAAAACAAAGGGAAGTATTTTTATCTTACAAAGAAAAAGCTGAAAAATCCCCGGAGGCAGAGAGCTCCCATCCATCCTGGATCTGGGGCTGAAGGTGACACCATATCCATTTTCACAGTATTTCCACCACGGGTGTGACAATGCACAGAGGAATCTCTGTGGCAGAGTGCTAACATCCATTTTCTCTGCTGGGAGAAGGAAATGAAATGCAGAGGTGTCAGGTCATGTAAAAACAACCTTTCAGTGCTGTTTAACAAGGTTCAGATGAAGTATATTGCATTAAAATGAGTCGCCTGCCAGCTGCAGAGCTGTGTTTTCACAACAAACAGCCCCTCACACAAAGTTATTCCAAAAGTCCCACTGATGCAAGGTGGAAAAGCAAACCAGGTTCTGCAGGAGCTGGGTTAATGTCAGCCAGTGCAGAGGGGACGAAGGCACACCCAGAACAGCTTGGGAGCAGATTTTGGCATGTCTGCATTCGGGTAGCACAGCAGGAATACCCAGAGGCCACCAGAAATTCTATCTCAGTTACTGACAACAATTTAAAATCCCATGATAAACCCAGTGCTTACAGCACAAGCTTGATGAAGTTTTGATTTCAAAGTCAAACTATGGAAATTTTCAAGCAGGTCTGGCCTGTAATGATGCTTTTCCCTTGAGGAAATGACCCAGACAATTACTGGCAAGGGGGAGAGCAAGAGCAGAGGAATTGGAGATGCACAGGAGATTGGAATGTAACACTGAAGGGATTTTCTTGTCCCAAAAAAGCTGACCAGAGCCAGGACAGAGCTCACTGGAGTCAATTTTTTGGCAGAAGGCAGGCAAGGATCCAGGTGCCAGAAATCAGAACACAAGCACAGGTGATTGAATCGTGTGAAGGGGATGGAACAAAATCACAGGGAGAGAGGTGGGTAAAAGTGATCCTGCACTTTGTTAAGAAGCCTGTTGAGAATGTGCACTTTCTCCCTCCTGCCTGTACTCTTTCTGCATCACAGCAGCTGAAAAATCCAACAGTCATTAAAATCTCCATTCCATTTGATATAAAAAAGGAAATTAATGTCAAATGCTACGTGGGATGGAGGCTACAGCATAAGATACAATTTAAAGCTTAAAAAAACCAAGGGTGAATGGAGTAGACTGCCTTTACAAAGTTATAGAAAAGCAATTTCTTAGAGTTCAAACTCTTTTTTAGACATTTAATGAGGTAGGGAGGCTGAGCACTCACTCTGAGGATGCTTTAGGAGGGATACTGCAAGGACATTAAAATGTTTATGCTACACATGTATAAAATTGTTACATAACTCCCTGGATCATAACTAATAATATCCACTAACACCATTAAGGCAGGTGGACTTACTGCTGCTCTGCTTTTCCAATCAATCCTATTTTAGTTTCCTTAAATGAAGACAGACAAACCCAACTGCAGTTTCACAAAATTGAGGTGATTCTTTATTTTTCTACCCAATTCATTGTCACTCAAGACTTGCAGGGTCCTTTCTCTTGCCAGCTGCAGTCCTTGGCAGAAATGATGCTTTACTCTTAATTTAAAATGCCACAGGAATTGTGGGAAGGGGAGCTCAGGTAGCTCTTTAATACCAGCAATGAAAGTTAATATAAATGGACATAAACAACTCATTTTACTTGGGCTGAAATAAACTGTGGGGGAAGGAAAATGATTTCTCAGTTTCTCTTCGGTCTGCTGCTGAATTCCTTTTCTCTGAGTTGGTGCAAATTCACAATTCAAGGCTGGTTTTCCTGAATGTTCAGTAATTACTGTGAGCATGGATTTGGGAGTTTTGGGTGTTAAAAGAATGAGGGCTTGCATTTGTCTCACCTATGATTGATGGCAGACTTACAGAAATAGGAATTTAATCTAGATTTGTCATCTCATTGCACATGACTGAATGTAATTTTACTGCTGTCATCTGAAAAGTTATGCAATGTTTCAGCCTCAGTAGAAAATGACAGTATTTATAAAATACAATGCTATTTAATACTAGCCACAACTTTCTGAGAATATAATGCTAAAAATAAAGTTTCACCAAGCATTTTCTTACAAAAATGGGTTATTAGCAGATTTAGAATTAAATTATTTTATTGGAAGTTAGAATCAAAACAATGCTGTAGAAATTTATTTCTTTTAAAGACTTTAAAAAGTCTCTTTAAAAGAAACTTTTCCTAAAGAAGAGGAGGCAACTGATAAGGAAATGGGCAGTGTTTGTTTTCTTTGTGGCCTTCTGCTGAACTTGTTCTCTTTTCATGAGGGCATCTAAACCTGGCCTGCCCACTCAGAATGATGTCCAAAAGGTGTTGAACAAGGAAGAAAGAAATTCAGGTTTTGTGCATTGCATTAAACAGATTAAAATCTTTTAGCACAATTCTGATACCATTTTCTTTCATTTCTGTATCAGCAGTGCTTTTTGTTGATATACCAAAGCATCTAGAACTTTCATTTGTCATTTCAAGGTGGTCAGGGACAGAAATTTTGCTATTTTTTTATGCTGTTTTCTGAGATGCAGTTCAAGTTTTGGCAAGCACTGAATAAAAGGAAGTAGTAAATTACAGGATTAGTTTTTTTAGCAGGGAACTTTTTGAAAAAGGGAAAAGAAGATCCCAGCTGAAGTGTGAATATATATAAAAAAAAATATGTCCTTTGTTCTATACATTCAGAATTTAAAGAGAAATTTCAGAAACCAACATTTAAGATTTTTGCCACTTTTGTCAAGTGTCACTGTAAACAGAGTGATTTGGCTTTTTCTGATACAATTATTAATTGCACGAAATAAGTGCTGCTTTGGCCATGTCTGAAGATCTTGGCAAGGCTGAGAGGCATAAATCTTTCATTTTCTGTGTCAAACCCTGCCCTGATCACAGTGGCTGGAGCCTCTGAGAGGAGATGAGGAGCATACATGTCTTTGGAATGATTCTGCTCTCTGTGCCACGGGACTCAGCCCTGGCAGGAGGAAGCTCTGGGATACATAAACCAGGAGCCCACCTGGATGTGCCCTGATTTGGGATGCTGGGATCCAGCTGTCTCGGTGGTAATATCTTCTTTAATGCTTCAATGAGCCTGCTCTCCCAGAAATGAAAATGCATGTGTTTGACACGCTCCTCTGCTTGGCTGGTTGATCAAAATAGATTTTTCTCAGCCTTTTTTCTCACTCATCTTTTCATGGGTATCATTATCCATTACTTAAAATTTTTTTCTGAAGCTTCATTCCCAAACTTATTTGAATATGCCTGTATAATCTACACAAAGCAGGGTCCTTTTGGACATGTGATAAAAAATTAATGGGGCTTCACATTTTTTAACAGTTGGCTCCAGCTGCTGGATTTCTTCCTGTATTAAAATCACTTAAAATCTCTTTTCAGTTCTGTTCAGAAGGCAAATTATCTAGGAAGGGTAGACAAAGCAAAACCGGCAGATTGAGTATTTCCTGGTGAGATGTGTGTATTTTAAAATATGCAGTTCGGGGAGGCAACATATAAAACATGCATAATCTATTCTAATGAGATTCCAGAAAGTTCCATTCCCAGATGTGAAATGTTTGGGAGTGATAGGAAGGAATGTGCAGCCTCAGATGGGAGCCTGTGAAATTAAGGGGGAGTTATCTGTGCAGTCCAGAACAAAATGTACCTGTTACTGTCCACACTGCTCGTACTGCAGCGTAGGGAAAATGTCCTTTTTTAATTAAAATAAAAGAAGAACAAGAAGCTGAGCCATGTTTTACTAAATATCCCATATTGCACTGTAAAATCACCGTGGCAGAGAGAGTTCCTCTTCCTCTGATTCCCTTTCCAGCCCAGTGTAACAGAAGGGAGGAGGAATAGAAATTCTGTTCCCAATATTTTGGAGGCTGAAAGATGTTAATGGATTTTTTTTCTGGCATTAGGCAAATAGTCTGACAAGACAATGAATCATTTTTAAAATCTCTGCTCCCACAGTGTAAGAGCAGAACACTTCTGTGTTCTGCACATTTTAAAATTTACAATAAGATAAATGATGCTCTAAGAGGAGTGATTATTTGGCTCAGAATTGTACTATCCTTTTCAGTTACAATTTATTTTCAAAATATTTGGAATACTTACATGATGATAGGTAGTGTCCTGGTTTGGCATCATATTTACTAATATATTGCTGGTGTTCTGTTAATTAATCCATCTTTTCTAGTTGTCTGAACCTAAAAAAACCTTTTGAACATTATTTAGGACATTATATACTGTGAACATAGAATTCCACAGGCAAATGAAACAGATACCAGATCTATTCACATCAGACAGTCCAGCAGAAAGAGCCACAGCCCTGAATAATCCAAAATTTGAGAATGCAAATGAGAGATTTCTTCAATGGGACACCTGGAGCAGCTGATGATGGGTATTGAAATGCGAGTTGTATCTGGAGTATTTGGGTTATTTTTCTGGGGTTTTATTTAGGTTTGAGTGGTTTTGGTTAGGTTTTTCTGGGGTTGCATAAGGGCATTTCTAGCACTGCTAAAGGAAACGTGAGAAAACAACAAAGATTCTGCCAAAAAAGAGCAAACATATTACATCTTGTAATACTACATCTTTTATCTGTCCTTTGGCACAAGCTGGAGTTCAGTGGGATGTCAGACACAGAACTGAATTTGATTTCCTGAGTGCCTCTGCCAGTGAAGCAGGACCAGCCAGCCCTGTCCCTGGGTGCTGTTTAAGTGATGAGCTTCCAGTGGATACCCTGAGAGAGGATCCAAACTTCCACATCAATTCCTGTTCCCACCTGAGGCACAACATTGCTGCCAAGCTCCAGGGATACTCCTGAAGTCACCTTGTGATTTGAAATTATGCTACATAACTTTTAAATCACAGCATATAAATAATATTAAAACAACAACAACAAAAAAAATAGTCTGCTGACTTTATATTACAGTTATATCAACATCACAGCCAGCAGGAAAATCCCTCCTTTCATGGCTTACCATCCTCTCTTCTCCCTTTTTTTTTGCCCATGTACCTTCTTGTGAGATGGTGCTGTGGTAAAAATTAGCCCTCATTTTTAAAAGATAACTGCAAACTGTAAAGAATTAAGAACAGCAATTACTGTGGGAGCTGAGTAAGAGGCAGCACTTAAAGGAGGAGAAGCAAATGAATCAAAACAAAAACCACCTTTTTTGTTGCACCAACCTCTGTGGCCACGGTTTGCAGGGACTGAAGTGCCTTTTATAATTCTCCAACGTGGTCCTACTGTAAGCAATCAATACCTGGGCTGGGGGAAGTTTATCCCTTTGACCAAACCTGTAAGATTGATCACCTGCACCACTGCTATTTTTAGGAATAATTCATCAAGGTTGTACAGACACCTTGTTGCCTACAACAACATAAACACTTCTGAAACCTCCCCACTCCTCCTCATCACAGTCAATCTTGCTTCAGCCTTTTACAGTTTGGAAAAGATTAATCTGTGGGGGCAAACAAGGCAAGGACAGGGTGTGCTGACAAGCCTCAAACCCACAGGAGCCATTTCACATCTCCTAATAAAATCAGAAAGTCCCTGGGTGAGCCAGGCCAGGTCTCTGCAGGGGCAGCTGAAGGGGTTCCCCAGTTTGCTGCAGTTCCAGGAGGCAGCAGAGCAGCTGCAGAGTGATTATTGCCTGTAATTCCTTATGATCCTCAGGGTAGAACTTGTCCCACCCTATTCCTTCTTGTCCCACCCTATTCCTTCTTGTCCCACCCTATTCCTTCTTGCCCCAGCCCATTTTTTCTTACCCACTTGTTCCCAAAAGCTGGAGGAAAGCAAGCTGGGATTCCTCAGGCTCTTTGCTGGAAGGCAGCAGGAAAGGGGGATCTGGATCCTGGAGAGGGATGGAGATAACAAGGCTGCTCCCAGAACACAGGAGAGATCCTGCAAAGTCCAGGAGAGGGATAAAAGGATTTATCTCATTGAAATGTGGGAGGGGAAAAGGATCTTAAAAACCAGATTGATGGGATAGGTTGGGGAAGAGGGAAATCCAGAACTCTAAACACTCATAAACTTGTGAAGTTTCTGGCAGCCCCTTGAACCTGACTGACCCTTATTTAACAGAAGCTCTGTAATTCCTCTGTGCTTTTGTGTCCTGCCTTTCATCCACAACACTGCCTGAAATTCCAGGGCTGTCTGATACTCCTCCTGCATGGAACATCATTGTTCACTCACTCCTCTGCTAACTGCTCCTGTTCTCCAGCTCTCTTTGAATTTTGCATAATTGCAGAGTTTCCCCAGCCCTTAGCACACACCTGGGAGCCCTCTCGCTGTGAAAGGAACATTCTGGCATTCATTCCCCGGACCTCTGCTTCCCCTGCATTCCAGAAGAAATAAATAGATCGAGCTACAATTAAAACTAACAAAGTCATGTGGGCTTGCCTGTGTTCCTGAAAGCATTTTCCATGGACTCAAGACTCACAAAACTTGTTGAGAAAGAGGAGCAAAATTATTTGTTAACTGCAAACCAGGACAGAATTCCCCTGCTCTAATAAAATGCAGCTGACTCTGCTGCACCTTTTTCAGAGAAAAAAAAAAAAAAAAAAAAAAAAAAAAAACCACCTAAAATCCATATTCTTGTTTACCAGATTTCTTTCTGAGCCATGGAAATTACTGTGAATGAATATGAAAATGACAACAGAGAAATTGGATGTTCTGAGATGGGAGCTCAGAGGCAATTCCAGCTGCTCTTTTAACAAGAAAAGAATGTCAGATTTCTCACTGTGTGATTATACAGGCATTCTAGACAATTTTTATTTGTTCTTGGTTTAGAATTGTGTTTCTAAAGTTGATTTATGTCTGAAACTGTTTGCTGATGTTAGGCAGACCAATTCAAAAGAATAAATTCTTGTGGCTTGGGAAGCTTCAGTGCAGAATGTTTAATGGTTGATTATTGTGGATCATTAAACTCCTTTCTGGAATAGTGTTAAACTGCTGTATGGAGGGGTGTTATTGGTCTGAATTAATTTCATGTGTACTGGAACCAGATGGGATGATTTCCTAAGGGATGTATTGATTACCTTATTTTTCTGTGATACTTTAAAAATTTTTGTTTTAAAAGTGTTCACAAGCAAAGCTTTTTGTACTTATCTTTTTCTACAGAAAGAAAAGGAGTTAAAATTACTCCTTTAACCACAGCAGAGAATTTCTTTGTCTTTATGGATGTTCTGTGTTATTGGCAGTTCTCTGTTGACCTCCCTTTCAACTCTGAAACTAGTTTTACTATGGAAGTTAAAGAAATTATGATTTAATTATAACCTGTGAGACAACATGGATTATTTTGAAACTGCATGACAATGAAACAGTGATAATTACACAGTAATTTGTGTTACAAACCTGCCATGTCCACATGGTAACAGATCTTGCCATGTGCATCTTGAGAGAAACATCACTGCTGCTCAACATAACCCAGGCTGGTGAGTGTGATAAAATGGGAATACATTGAAATAACACAGGGGAATATGTTGAAAATAATACATGAAATAACATACATGGGAATGCATTGAAAATAAATGAAATAACACAGAGGAATACATTGAAATAACACAGGGGAACAAATAGAAAATAACACATGAAATAACACATGGGAATACATTGAAATAACAGGGGAACACAGAAAATAACACATGAAATAACATACATGGGAATACATTGAACTTAATAAATGAAATAACACAGAGGAATATGTTGAAAATAATGCATGAAATAACACACATGGGAATACATTGAAATAACACATGGGAATACACTGAAAAAAATAAATGAAATAACAGAGGGGAATACATTGAAAATAACACATGAAATAATATACACAAGAATACCGTGAAAATAATATGTGAAGTAATATATATGGGAATATATTGAAATAACACATGGGAATACATTGAAAAAATAAATGAAATAACAGAGGGGAATATACTGAAAATAATACATGAAATAACATGCATAGGAATACACTGAAATAACACACATGGGAATACATTGAAGTAACATATATGGGAGTGTATTGAAAATAATACATGAAATAATACATGAAATAACATATATGGGAATATATTGAAAATAACACATGAAATAGCACACATGGGAATACATTGCAATAACACAGGGGAATACAAGGAAAATAATACATGAAATAACACGTGGGACTACATTGCAATAACCCAGGGGAGAGCTGTGTTCATGTCACAGCCAGACAATTCAGGCCTTGAGGCTTTGTAATTCCTCTGAGAAATAAATTATCAGGGGAAGAGGCTGTAATTTAGTGAGGGTTGTGAAGGAAGAGGGAATCCAGTGGTTCTCTCCAGGCAGGGCTGCAGACCCTAAATTCTGCTAAATTCTGCTAGGATGAGGGAATTAGTAACTGAGGAGAATATTCTAATATTATTCTAACCTGCTTCAGGTTAACCATTTTACTCTTTCTTCCACTCCAACATGAAAAATCTTAGGAGGGCAAACCATTGCTAACACTGTGTTTTTATTTTTGATTTCTGCAGCAAGAAGCAAAGAAAATTCTGTCAGCTTAATCAGCCAGTATTATGTAAATGTGGGGGAAATTACAGTAGTTGATGTTTGAAGAGGGTTGTCAGCAGTGAAAGTGTTCATAATGTTTGATAAAGTTATGGGGGTTTTTTTTGCAAACAAGTAAAAATAAAGCATGCATCACCACAATTTTCCATCCATTTAAGTTTCAGATTCCCAGTGAAACTCCAACTCAACTGTACCAAGTTTTATCCAATCAGTGCAAGTAGCTGACCAGTGTTTAGTGCTAGTGTAATACATTTTTGTATTAATTTTGTTCACTCTTTTCAACTATTGAAAAAATAACGAACAAAAGGAAGGAGGGGGGAAAAGCTGGAACTGCATTAGCTGAGGTGGAGGCATTTTGTGCCCAAGGAATGGTGTGTTGACATAGAAGAGAGCAGAAAATGTGGACCTCCTAATCTGCATCTGGAGAGGGATGTTTGGTGGTGATGGCTGCATTGTGTTCGTTTTGTGACATGGCCCTGAAATCCCAGAACCCGTGAGATTTATCAGAGGTTCAGAAATAAATAACCACAGTGGCTTGAACTGCTACAAATGGAATGCATCAGAATAAGCTGGAGTTACCTATGGCTTGTAGAATTCAATGCAAAACCTGGAAAATGAGAACAAAGGAGTGGGAAAAGTGCAGTATTTCCATCACTGGATGTTAAAAATGAAGAATCACAGAAGGGTTTGGGTTGGAAGGGACCTTTAAGCCCATCCAGTGCCACCCCTGCCATGGCAGGGACACCTCCCACTGTCCCAGGCTGCTCCAGCCCCATCCTGGAACATTCCAGGGGTCCAGGGGCAGCCCCAGCTCCTCTGGGCACCTGTGCCAGGGCCTCAAACAGACACACAGGATCTCTGTGCTGATGAGTACAGCAGAACTCTTGCTGATTTCACAGCAAAAAGTAGAATAAGATGAAGTTTTTCCTACTGAAAGACACTTGCACTGCACTTGGGAATACCTGGCTGCCCACACAGAAATCCCAGTTTAACCAGGATCCTGTCCTGGGATTCAGAACTAGTGACTTTCCCTGTTTCAATAGTCCTACACCCTGCTGAGTACACTTCTGTTTAAGCATCTCTGAAAAAGAATTACCTCATGAATCATTACATTGAATTTCAACCTAGAAATCTTTTTAGTGTAATTCAGTGAACTTTGATTTTTCATTAGTCTAGAATTGGAAGCTGAAAAGTAGTAGCATGTATAATTGCATGTCACAGTGCCTGTAATATACCTTACTTGCAGGTGTATTTCCTTGATTTTCTTTTTGGTGTTGTAGGGTACCTGTATTGTTTTGAAATAGAAAATAGTACTTCTGAGGTAACGTGCATAAAAGGAATTATTTCATGTACTGAGCTGCTCTGGATGGAATTCTTGTCTTCTTTAGAATTGCTTGAGCTAACTTACAGCTCTGTTGGTTGACATATATCAACAAAAATAGATGCAGACAGTCAATTATTTGAATTATGCTCAAAGGTATTCTCATCTCTGTTTTATAAGAAAAGAAACTTGAATGGAGCAGAGCTTTTCCTCTGCCAATTACTGCTGTGCAGACTCCTGAGAGGAAGAAGCTATTCAAACCAGGATTTTGGGGTTTGGTTTGTTGTAGTTTGTTTCGTTTCTCACATTGCTGTCAAAAATCAAACCTGTGAGAACATCAGATTAATTTAGGGGTAAAAAGTGCACTGACTTCTTCCTTTTCATCTGAACAGAGTCCTGCAAAAAATAGTGTATAAAATACACTAAATGGTGATGCTGCTTCTGAGAGAGACAAGAAAAATTTTAGGTGGAGATCTTAAAGGGCTTTTTGCATTTCCTATTTAAAATGTCAATGATGCTTTCTGAAAACCAGAACCTTGGACAGCAAACACTGCAGAGCAGGTGGAAGTTTTTGTTTCCTGGAGTGACCAATCTGTGCTCACTCCCATTTCTGAGCATTTTCTGCTGTCCCCAGACAAGCAGATTTGGGATTGATGAGATCAGGGAGATTGCCTGTCCCTGCTTGGGAATGAGGGAATTGTGCATCCCATTAGGATTTTGCTTTGACAGAGAACTTACAGGCACTCATGATGCAATTTTCATGTTGAGAACACATTCCCCACTCTTACACAGTCAATAATTTTAATAAACCATACAACAATTTTGCACTTTACAGTTTTTTTCTTTTAATGTGTCTACAAGCTTGATTTACTGTAAGGTAAAGGGCCTTCCTCTTCTAGATCACCAAGATATTTCTTTATGTTCATAATGAAAGCAGCTGGATTTTTTCAATCTTTTGTGTTTGGTGGCTGGAAGTTAACCTGGCTATCTGTGTTTGGGAGAATAAAGGAAAATCTCTGAACACAGTGATAGCAAATACAGCTGCCAGCTGTAATGCATTTTTAAGATAAAGATACGAGGGGAAAAGAAAGAATCTTTAATAAAATTAAGGGTTTATCAAGCCTTGTTCTTGGGTTGAAAATTATGTTTCTTATATGTGATTTGCATGCTATAAACTGCTATCAATTATTGAAAATAATTCCTGGCTCCACAGTTACCTACTTCTGCTCAAATTGACTTGTCAAATATTTGACATTCAGATTATTCTCTCTGTTTGAGTGCAACTGCAGAGAATGTTATGGAAAAATACATGCATTCAGAAATCCAGGCTTTCCACTGGAATTTCATATTAACATTTTAATATAGATATCTTAATGCTTTCAAAGCACAGAGTAAAGAAAAACAAGGTAAACTAACATAGCTTCTGCTGGTGACCAACATACTAGCTTAGGTGCTGAAAATTGGTTTTCCAGATTATCAAAGGACAAAGTTGCAAAGCACCAGGTGTTCTTTAGTTTAGTGCAAAATGGAGTTGATTGCTGTTCTGGCTGCTTTCCTGATTTTCATAGTCTTCATTAGAATAATCTAATAAATAGCAAGCTGAATCAGCATTTTGATTAAGGAGAATATTCTAATAATAAATTAATAGGCTTTTTACTTTTGAGCAAAATAGCAGCCAGAAAACTCTTAAAGCTTTTGTTTCTATGAGCCTTATCTTCCCAGGCAGGTTCTGGAGCTCCCAGATTTTCTTCATTTGGCTGCCAGGAGGATAAACTGCATTCCACAGCAGCTCTGCTATTTAATATTGCCCTTAAGAACAGAAAGCTCAAGCTGGAAGCTTCTAGAAAAACACCTGTAATGAGCAGAGCAGTGTAGGTTTATGAAATGAAAACTATTTACTTAAACAACAAATCAAAACCAGCAACTAGGTCCCAATTAAATCTCTGATTGAAATGAGTAGAGGTGCTCATTTGGACAGGGTGAGAGCATTGATATGTTACCCCTTTGTTATTCTCTTATAAACCTCTTGGTATTTAAATAGCATGCTAATAAAGCAGACTTTAAGAAAAAATACTGGCAAGAATAGGAAGGGTTTGGGGGAGTGCTGTTAGTGATCATTTCCACTCCTTCTGCCACCATCAGGAACCTTTAACACGTTCCCCACAGTCCTGAGCTAAGGTATTTTTCTGTCTCCTTCTGGTTTACAGTTTCTTGTGCCACAGTGCTCCCAAATCTTTCCTTCTAATTCTCTTTCCCCTGGGAAATAATAAAGGCTGTTTTGTTATCCTAACTTAAAAGCAATCAATGAAATTAAAATGAACTGTCATCTAACAGAAGTGCAAATGCAATCTGCCTTAGTCATTTCCCTGCCCTTGCTCATCAGCAGATACCCTCAAAGAGCTCTCTGCATACAAGATTGCCTTCTATTTATCTCTGTTTATCTCTCTAGTTCATCTCTCGAGTGCAGTGATTCCTCCTGATTCTTCACAAACCCTACCAGACTTACCTCAGTAATTTAGGATGATGCTCTATGACTTTCACCCAAAAAAAAAAAAAGCATTAAATATTTCTGACAGTCAGAGCAACGAGATGCTGGGCAGATAAAAAATCACCAACAAATTATTCCTCAGAAAAATAGACTCTAAAGATAGAATATAGAGATAATCTCATTTCAGCTTATTAATTATGCCTTGTAAGCAATGAATCAAATCACTTTGCTGTATGATACAATTACTGCTGTAATTTGTAGTCATTACAGCTTGCACTGAGGTATAATTGTGTAATTCATTTTCTGCAGGTTATTGACAGAGAAGGTCTTAACAACTTCAGCATGGAGGCTTTGGGTTTGCTACAGTTTAATTTGCAGATCATTAGCACAATAGACCTAATAGCTTGCTGTGTCTACCCATCAAGGAGTTATTTATGTTTGGAGCAGGCACAAAAGAGAAATATTAAGAAGAGATTGGAGGTAGAGACATTATTACCTTGTTCTCCTTACAGTCTCTAGGTTCTGCTGCATCAGTCCTGGGCAGATTTAATTCTCTGGTCAGCTGTATTTTCTAGCAGGTCGTTTGAAGATGAGGTGGCTTTCCAGCCTGCAGTGAATTATTCCAATTAACAAGTTAATATTTTGGCATAGTCATCTGCATCTGATTAATGTTCATTAAATCAGTCGTGATTTGATTGAAATAGATTTTTAAGTGTCAACCTTCCCATTTAAATGGAGCACAAGAAGTGCTGCTCCTGCTGACATCTGCCATGGAATAAAATATAATAAATAAGTCATGTTCCTATTGTGGTTTTTTGGTCTGGTTCTGCTAAATGTATATCCTGACTGTTATTCATGGTGGCTTTTGATTTTTTGGTTCGTTTTCCTTTTTATTTCTTTTTTTTTTTCGCCTTTCAGGTGTCTCTATAGTATTTTAAGAGTGATTACTTTTATATTTATTCCAGCTCCTTCTTAAATAAATGGCTGTGCTTCTAAGTTATTGTGAGCACAATTATTCATAATAAATGTAAAATGAGATTAAATGTGCCCACTGAGGTGAAGGGGACAGAAAGAAAAAAATCTTGTATTTGACCCAAGCAACAGCACCCAGGAAATTTGTATTGAGGATTATGAAAAATATCATATCCTGTATGGAAACCATGATTATTTTTCCACACTTCCTGCCATTCCTTTTAATTGACTATTCTCAATTAGCATGTTTTCACGCAGTCATAATTGCCACACCCTATCTCCTGAGAGCTACATACATCTTACACTATATTTAAGAAAATGATAAGAAATTATATTCCTTATTGTTGGCATGAGACTTCTTTTTTAAACTACTCTTTAGGGGGAAAAAAAATCTTTTTAAAAGTTTCCATCAGGGCCTGCAACCAAATAAAGTTCTTCCATTCTTTTTCTTGATACAAACTTTATCCTCAGAATGCAGAATTCAAATTGTAGAGCCTCGGAAATTCTTTGAAAAAATAATAATGGCAAATGTTGCTATGGTTACAGAGCCATTCCCATTTGCTTTGCTTTTCTGCCTCAGTAATGAAAGTGGAATGAGGGATTTTTATTCCAACTGTCTGTACCATGCTTTGTAGGAGAAATGCATATCCCACTAAATATTCTCCATTAATTTTTGAAACCAGAATGTTTTGGGGGTTGGTATTTCTCAAGCTGTTTTCCCCTGTTTTCTTATTAAAGTTGATTAAAGACAAATATAATCTTAAAAGCTGCAGCGAAAATGCGAGTTTTGCTCACAATTCCACTTGGATAAAGGACAGACTCAATTTCCATCCTTCCCCAGTCTAACACCCCTTGGGTATAAAATTCTGAGCTCGAGCTGCCTTAATTTACTGAGTTACCTTATTCTCAGGAGTGCCTGGCACTGGAGTTTTTATTTTAAGATTGAAGCACAGGATATCCTTAAGATTTCTCAAGCTCATGTGGAACAGATAAAGTAGTGCTTTGGGATGTTCAATTTTATCCCTCTGGGTTGCTGGTTTTTTTTTTAGTTGTACTTTTGTGATCAACTTGCAGTTCCTTGTCCTTCCAATAACACAAACCCCCGTGCCCCCAGAAAAAACCTCACAATGCTTCACTTCCCAAGACACTTCCCTCACTGCCATTTCTGCTGTGGAAGAACTGAAATGTCTGGGGAAAGTCTCCTGATTTTCTTATCAATAAAAACATTATCAGCAGCTTTCCCTGAGGATGGAAATCCATCTGGGAGCAGGGGGAGACAGCTGATGTGGCATCACTGAGGCCAGAATCACCCATGGGGCTGCTCCAGTCCTGCTGCAGAGGGCTTTTTGGGAAAAGATTATGCAAATAAAGGCTGCACTGCACAGAAACACACCAGAGATTGTGCAGCGGGTTCAGGATTTTGGTTTTTTTTCCTCAAAACCCCATTTGGGATGAGAGCAGGGCTGCATTTTCCAGAAGGTGAAGTCCTGCACCACTTCAGAGAGCCCCAGCAGGGTGAGGTTCTGTGCTGGCTGTCTCAATAGCACAAACATTTGGAGGCAGCAGGGCCCTCATTAATGTTTTCTGATACTTTTTTAGTAACAAGCAGTTCTCGGTAGCTCCCAGTTTTGCCAAGCAGCTATGTGAATTTTTTCACTCTGCATGGCTTTTCTAGATTTTCAGACACACACCCACACAGAGCCAGATTCCCTGTGATGCTTTGCTCCAGTTTATTTTGTTATTTCAGCCAAAGCAACTAAGAGTTAACCTAAGGAGGCAGTATATTATTGTGTTTTGTTTTTGGTTTTGTTTTTTTTTTAATGTTGGGGTCTATTTTTACGCTGGATTTTAGTTTCCCTTCATTCTCTCAAGCCTTTGATTTTTGGAAAACCTAGACTTTGCTGCAGAAACTACACTCGATGGATGTTAGCACTTATCTGCTTTTGCTTGCCCATGAAAACCCCTCCACATTTTCTAAACCACAAGACTAAGAACTCCAGCTAATTCTTGGATGGCTACATTGGTAGTGAAGCCGAGCCCTTCACAAGGTTTTTGGGTTTTTTTGCCTGGATATTGTCTGTTCTCACACAGCAGCTGCATGTGCAGACTCTCAATGAACCTGCTCGGACTGGGAAGGAGGAAAGGGAAAATCTGGGAATTTGGAATTTGCCATCCTGGGCTGCAGCAGCTGCTTCAGGGTGGAAGGAGTGGCAAGGCCAGGGTCCTCATAAGACAGGAAAACTGGACAGGACGAACACAGGTCAAACCAATATGGTCAATGCAACGTTCTCTGTTTATTCAAGAGAAGATGGCAGCTTATATACACTTCTGTATAGTTTACAGTTTGCAAAGGCACTCTGATGGCCACACTAACATTGTTTGCCTTTGCCTTAAGGTGGTCAGGCTTTTCACACTGCAGCTCTACCCTAATTCACACTCAGATCACTCATTACTTTATAGTTATCTTAACATAATTTCTAACGTTGCCACAACTGAATTCTTACTGCGTCAAAGGCTCCGAGGCCCCACCAAGGCCTGGTCTGAGGGGCAGCTCAGTGCTCACTCCTGACATAAATCATGTCCTCTATCTCAGAAATTCTGTAACTCCTGACATAAATCATGCCCTCTATCTCTCACAAATTCTGCATCAGAGTGGGGCAGAAAGAGGGCTGGGAGCTGGAGCTCCTCTGAATCCCCCGCTGAAAAACCAGGCAGATCCGAATGTGGACACTGTGCAATATCACAATCTAAAAATTGCTTAAAGAGTCCAAGTGACTTGGTGCCTACAGCTCCTTTGACAGAAAAAGTCACTTATTCAAGGGACAGAAGCCTAAAAGTGCAACAGCTGCCGTGCCCTTGGGCTGGGAGTTTGAGTTTGAGAGGCAAGCAGCAGCACAGGACACGGAGCAGTTTGTGATGGAGATCTAAAGCTGCTCAGATTGCTCAGATTTCCTGCTCGCTGCTGACAGCACAGAACTGGGGATGAGAGGACCTTTGTGATGTGCTGGCAGAGCTCGAGACTTTTCAGCACTGTAAAGAAAGAAATAAGTGGGGTTTTTTCTTTCTTTTTGCACAGGCAGTTGACTGGGCTCTTGAGAAATGGGGTGGAATGGAGGAGAGGCATTGCAGGAATTTTAGAAATGGAAGTTAAAAGTTGAGATTCCAGGAGGACTGCAGATAGGAAGGTGAGTGAAAAAGGGCTGAAAGGAGTCTGGTATTTCAGGAGGGAGAGGTGGGGGACCCATGAGATTCTCAGACTGCAGCTGACAGAATAAACATTGGGGAGAGCAGAAAAAAGCTCAGGAAAGAACACAGGAGAATGAATTCTTCAAATTTCAGAAAGAAGAGTGTATCCACATAAGAATCTGGATTTAGAGTTGGAAAACAGCAGACAAATAAGCCACTAATAGTGTCACACCCAAAATCACCTGTGCCAGGGAAGAGGGTTTATAATTTCCTGCTGCTCCTGTAGAATTACTTAGATTATTATTATTGTTGTTGTTATTATTATCCAATATTTAGCTTTGTTTCTTAAGTGAGAGCCAAATTATAAATTCCTTGAGTCTTTTCAAATTACAAAGTAACAGAAGTGGGTTAATCTGGAGTACACATGATACTCACTGCTCAGGGTTTGCCCTCAAAAGCACAGAAATGGACACTGGAGCCTTGATAGACAACTACAGACCTAAATCTTGACTGGAAAGCCCCTGTAATATGCTTGAAAAAAAAAAAAAAAAATAAAGCCATTTTTGTCCAAACATATTATGGAGGCTGCCTTAAACAATAAATGTTTCTGATTCTTACTTGCTAACACTGTCAAAGAATTTGGACAGTCTGTGCAACATCATAATCTAGGAATATTTTAAAGATTCTGAGTAGCTTGGTGCCTAAAGCTCCTTTGACAGAAAAAGTAACTTATTCAAGTTTTAGTTTTGTATTTCTGTGAAATTTATCTTCAAATATTTGACTGAAGTTTTGAGACGTCTCTCTTGATTTCATGAGATGTGAAACATTTAATTAAAATTGACTTAAAATCTAAAGAAATACATGGAGAACTGGTTCAGATAACTTAAACATGGGGTAGGGAAAGACTTTATATATTTGCATATTTTATTACTGGATATAAAAAGCAATTTTTCAAATAAATGCCAGTTCTTCTGAGCCTTCTACATTTATCTGCAGAAAGATCAAACAGAGTATGAAATTTCAGAATGCTCTGACTTTCTAAGCTGCACTAAAAATATTTTTGTTCTGGCTGTCCAATGGAAGTTACTGGAGGATGTTCTGTGATTTAATTGGTCTCTACTGGTTTTATGCTCAAAGGACAGTTTCTTTCAGATAGCTGGCAAAACTCTTGTAAGAAAAATAGCAATCAATAACTAAGATGGGGTCATTAAAGGAAAATCTTATCGTCTTCATCTAGCTCCATTTAAATTTTTATACATTTTTTTTCAATTTTAGTCACTTAAATAATTTTCTTAAATTATTAATATTGCTCTGTCTGTAATTTTATGCCCTTTGTTGTTTTCTAGGACTGACTTCACTATGGGATGAGAGTTCCTGAAGTTTAGATTGACATCCTTTGCCATTTCCCAGACAGAATTCCCACCCACCCCAATGCCTGAACCTCTGAGAGCTGCACGAGCACCCCTGAGCCCTGGTTGCATCTGCAGAGAGTTAAACAAAGAGGATTTTAATGCCTTAAATGATCTCCCATTTAAACCTCCCCAGGTGCTAAGAGATGTGTCCTACTAAAAACCCTCTATGCTGTCCAAATATGCTGTTTTATGAAGTATAGATCATTTTCCAAGTTATTCTTTATCTAGGTTTTTACTGTTTGCACCTGCAGATATCTGAAATTTGCCATGAGTCTGTGCATTTTGGGGCTGGAGCTGTCTTTATGTCACACCCCACACATTCCCTGATGTGACAGATTTATGAACACAAATAGTTTTAGTTGTCCACCCCTAAAAAAAAAGAGTGATTGCTGATATTGATTCTTGCTTAATACAAAGGGTGATCACAGATTAAGATTAAGGTTGGAAAACATCTCCAACATGACTGAACCCAACCTCTGGGAGATGGTTGAGTGGGCATGGTGGTTTTGGGGCAAAGTGCCACCAGCTGGGGCAAAGTGACCAGTTCCACTCATTTATTGAACACATCCAGGGTTTGTGACTCCTCCACTTCCCTGGGCAGCTCATCCCAATGCCAGACCACTCCTGCAATTAAGGAATTTTTCCTTATATCCAACCAGATTATTGATTTTTACTTTAAAAAAAAAAAAAAAAAAGAAAAAAAAAAAGAGAGAGACGGAGAAGGTGATTATTGAGTAATTCTTTATCTGGTGAATTCAGCCCACTGCCTACAGTGAGTGAATAATAAGTTTTTAACAAGTGGAAATAAAGGTGTAGCAGGAGGGCAAAGGAGTCTGCAGAACTTCAGATTTTTTGGCAGGTGGAAACTCATTAAAAGTGCACATGCTTGAGGAGGCAGCAGACAGATTCTGTACTGCTCTTGAGACAATGCTCACAGAAAAATTCCTGTTTCATCTGCCTGATAAATGGTGATCTTGGAAAAGAAAGTGGTCCTTCTGCAGGCAGCTGTGCAATTCAGTGCCTCACACTTCCTTTCTCTGAGCACTATAAAGATGAAGTCTATTGCCTTAGACGTTTACAAATCAAATCTTTTCATGCCACTAACTGCTTTTGGAGAAAAGCACAGATGTGAAATCCCTGCTTGGCTCGGAAGGGAGGCCAGCAGCAGGACTGCTGCCAGCAGGGCCCACCCCTGCACCCCAGAGCCCTGAGGAGCACTCCCAAAAACAGTCTGAGATTTTGGGTGTGAGTTTGATCCGTGCTGGGATCTGTGGTTTTGGGTGTGAGTTTGATCCATGCTGGATCTGTGCTTTTGGACACTGCTGTGAGTTTGTGGCCCCAAGTTGGGCAGATCCTCGAGGGCTCCCCTGGCAGGGGAGACCCTCCTGGAGCAGTTCTGTGTCAGGAACAAGAGACACATTGAACTTTTTCAGTCTTCAGCCTCTGTTTAATGTTATCTTATCAAAACTCCAGCACACTGGCTGCACCAGACTCTGCGTGCAGGAAAACAGCACAAAAATGGCCAACAGTCTCTTGTTACAAGGCCTTTTAAGTCTAATCAAAAACTAAGCTACCCAATTAAGAAGTGACACAAAAAATATTTTCCTTTCTAACCCAATAACTGACCCCTAAAGACCCACAATGCAGATTTTTCTACCCAATTACAAGATACCACCCAAACCCAAGAAGAAAGAGGAAGAAGAAGAAGAAAGGAACTCAAGAAAACACCCTGTATCCTCCATCCTGAACCCATCTGTCAATTTGATTTTAGTTTAATCTAATTTGGGATAGAGCTTAAATCTTACAAAAAAAACATATGGAAATCTTTATTTTTATCTTCTGGGAAACTTACCCCAAGAGTTTGAAGCAATTTAAACCTTTAAACTGAGAATGATGTCAACCCAAAGATTGGTCATTATTGGGACTGAAGCTGATTTTTGAGCCCACTGTGGATCTGGAACTGCTTTCATGAAGTGACCCCTAGTTTTTTTATTTTTGAGATATAAAGATGTGAGTGGCATTGAGATGTCAGTGTATAAAGTTCTTTCCTCCACAAAAGCACAGCACGTTAAAATTCCAAGTGATAGAGGAGGCTTTTCTGGCATGTAGCAGGAAACATTCTGAATGACTCCAGCATGGTTTTCCTCTTGTCAACAAGTTAATTTGAAGAAAAATAGCTGTGCTTCCAAAATAATAGTGTGTCCTGTCATAGAATTGCTGAACACTTGGTTCTGCTACAAGAATTTTTATTAGAGAGAAGCAAGACTAATTTACAAACATCAAGAGGCAGAATGTGATAAACCTGGCTGTGCTTGGATGTTTAGAGAATCTGCACTGTCAGTTTAGCTACAAATGTGCTGTGGCAGTCAGGAACACTTGCCAAACTTCACTGCAGCCAAAGCCCACTTTATATTCTAAAAGGATTTCTTGGTTTTTTGAGACAGACAAAGGTCATGAAGTCTGACTTGATGTAGTATATGTCTCCATCAGCTGGGTATTCAAAAGATAGAAGTTGAAGTCCCTAAAGTCTGTTGCAGCTATTCAGTTACATGGATTACAAATGTACACTTGAATTTCTTTCATGTGGCATTTTCATCTGAGATGAAAATGAGAGGTGGAGGGAAAGAATGAAGCAGTAATAAAGGATTAAAAAAGCTTTTAAGCTCATCCTAAAAAGAAATATATTGCATCTGTCCATCAGTCATATTGCCATTGACCATTTAAAAAATTCTGAAAGTCCAACACCTTTTGGACAATGATTGCATGTAAATGCATACTGCAATTCCCTGCTTCATTCACTATTTTGCACTGATGCAAAATAGGAATACATAATTGTCCACAGCATGGCTGAAGACTTACCTGAGTTTTGATAATGACAATTTCCCAAACTTCTACAACTCTGTCAGCACAGCCTTCAGTAATTTCCCTCTTTTTTGTATAAAACTGACAGTGTGTGATCCTGGGTCTGGTTTGTATGGCCTTGATTCCTCCCTTCTCCTAAAAAGAAACACATCATTATGGCCTCCCTGCCACTTTTGTGAGCACAAGCTATTACATCTCTTTCTCTCTCTTCTGGATATTTTTTCAGAACCTCCACATGGATTTTTTATTATTATTCACCTCATAATATCCTAAGGAGGTATTTCCTGTGAACCCCTAGTCCTGGTGATGCAAACACTAAATGGCATTTACAGTGCAAAGCTGGTTTAATTTGTTTCTTCAGCAGCAAATCAGAGGATGGATTTTTAACTCTAAGGACACCTTTTTTGTCTCCAGAAAGAGATGGAACACTGCTACCTGTGCTGCATGTAAATGAGAGTCAGCTCCCTAAGTGGGAGGCTGAGCACAGGGTAATTCTGACCTCTGAAGTGGATGTTATGTTGATTTGAACACATATGTATCCCAGCTACAAATCAGCACTAAGTTATACAAGTCGAGGCCTCTTTGACTTGAAACAGCTGCTAAAGGCAGAAATCAAACACAGAGACACCCGACAGAACTGAGTCCTGGCAAGCTGCAGTGGGAGCTCTCAAACACCTCCGAGGGCTTTTACCAACATTTTTGCTTTCACTTTCATCAGTATTGAAGGCATTACGTGATTCCCTCTGAAAATAAAGATATCCAAGGAGGATGAAATAAGAGAAAAATCTATATCTGAATGTATTATTTGCCTGTTGCCTCAGAGAAGAGCTCGTTGCTGCAGTGCTCTAACAAACCGCTCTGTGCTGGGCTCTGCCTGCATTCCTCATGGCACAGCTCTGCTCTCTGCAGTCTCACACAGCATTTCTGGAGTGACACACTAAGGCAGAGGATTTTACTTTGGATTCCACAGGAAAAGATGGAGAGCATTCAGAACTCCCAACCTCAGCATTCCCAGAGCAAATAAACAATAAATTCCAACATGCGTCCACAACACTATAAATAAACATGCCCATTCCCTACAAATCTTTATTAGAATTGTAAATTTTAATTTTTCAACTGCATTTCAGGACCCTAAAGCTCATCCTATTCCACCCTGCCATGGGCAGGGACCCTTCCACTGTGCCAGGCTGCTCCAAGCCCTGCCCAGCCTGCCCTTGGACACTTCACATCGCTTTGTGCAGCCTGTGCCAGGGCATCACCACCCTCACAGAGGAGAATTTTCCCTAATATCTACTTCAAACTCACTCCCTGGCAGTTGGAAGCCATTCCCCCTTGTCCTGGCACTATATGCCCTTGTAAAAAATTTCTTGATGAAAGGTATCTAGGCAAAAATAATTTAGTTTTTCTCCTGGCTTTCTCAGTTTCTGCTAACCTGAGGTTTTCTGAGAGAGAAGACAGGAATAGAGATTAAATCAGACCTAAGATCTTCCTTCTCTCGCCCCTTAATGAATGTCATGAGACCCAGCCTGCTGGGTCTCTCATTATCAGGTAATCATGCTGGACCTAAAATAACTTTGCTTCTGAAGCTCTATCAAAACCTGACCTTTCCTCAAAACCTTTTAATAAATTGTCACTTTCTTATTAAATTAATCTTGGAAAAAGACCTGGCCAAGGGTGTTGTCTTGATTTTTAAAAGTGTTAAGTTTTCTTTTATAGTTCTTTTGAAAGTTTTAAAGTTCTTATAAAACTTCTTTAATTTTCTGATAATGTTTACATATTTCTACTGGAATTCTTATGCACTGTTCATGTAAATAAAGATTGTTTTGCATTCTTCTTTTTGGGAGGAGAGAATTGATGAATTGAGAACTGATGGACTGTTGGTTTGACCAGTGTGGTTGGAGAGGTGGCAATTTCATCCTCCAATCCACTGTCACTTTTAAATTCTATATTTTGTAAAGTCAGAAATAAAATTAACTATTTTTTTCTTTTGAACTTAAAAAAAAATTAAAAAACACTTTTAAAAATCAAAACAACACAAGGATTTGCCCATGGACTTTTACTTTACACATCAGCATGTCTGTGCATCTGTAAGTACACACACACTGTCCTTCCAGCACTACTGACCAACCAGCATTTTTGTGAACCCTTAGTTTTATTTTCAGCTATAGGCTTCTTTTCTGATCTTTTTGTGCAACTAAAAGGCTTTGGGAACTATAGATGACGCAGGCAAAATTAATAAAGCCTTGTGGCAGTATTTTAAACTTCTCAGTGGACCACTTAAACTGTGAGACCAAGTGTGTAAAAATCTCCATCTCTTTCCATGCCAGACTGATAACAGAGGAGCAGTTCCAGAGCTCTGTCTCTCCTTTCACATTCTGTTTACAATAGCAGCCAGCCTTCTTTTGCTTTATACTTGCTTGAGCAGTTATCTGGCAAACCTGGGGAATGGTTAGTGCTTTTCTCACGTGGCAGGAAAGAGAAGCAAGCCATGATTATACCAGAAATAAATACCTGAGAGATTTAACCTCTGGCCAAGTACAGGCTCAGGATGGATGGCACTGCATATGCCTATGAGCATCACCAAAATAAACAGTCTCCTCAGGAAACTGGCAATACATCAAACTGTAATTCACAGCTGAGGAGGAATTCCTGGATAATCCTCACAAAAACAGGCACTGAGAGGATTCCCTGCTCCTGCCAGTGCAGCCCTTCACTGCTGGACACCGCCGTGTCACACAGACCTCCACTAAGAGATGCTGCTTATTCTGAATTAATTAATTTTGTCTGACTCATTTCCCTCTGAGATAACACTGCTTCCTCACTGTCTAACAGCTAAAGAAGCAGTTCCCAGCACAAATTCATTCCAGGACATGGCATTTATACCTGTTCTTTGCAAAAAATCAAACAACTAACCAATGAAACAAAAAAAACCCACACAACCCAAGAATCCACCTTTTCTAGAAGGGAAGGTCTCATGTTCAGGCATTTACCTTTCAGAGACTAGTTTGGGCTGCAGTTTTGACGTGGAATTTTCCAGAACTGTGGTGGGTCAGCCTTGGCTGATGAGCAAACTCCCCCCAGCTCCTGGCTCACCTTCCCCCAGCTGGGGCAGGGGGATCAATGGGAAGAACACAAATGAGGATGCTCAGGGGTCCAGAGAAAGACAAGGAGATTGCTCCAGGTGCACCCAGTGCAACAGCTCAGCCTTCTGTTCCCGTGCACAGTTTGTAGAGAAGTGGTATTTCAACCTGACAAACCCAGAAACACAGTTATATCAGTCTTTGTTATCAGCTTGTCAGCCACCTAATAAATACATTCCATCACCTCTGTGGGAGTTTTAGTCATTTAGATGGTAATTCCTGCTTCACAGGTATGTTCTACACCAGGTGCCAAATATAATCATCTATAATATTACTGCTGATGTATTTTAACACTCTTCATGTCCCCACACTTGTTTGTGGTTTTATTATGTAGGAAGTGTCTGAATTTAAATTTATATGTTCCATCCATGCAGGACATCTTCCTCATGCAACCTGAAAACATTACTGCACTTCTGAAATGTGACAGCAAGACAAAGAAACAAAAATTTTTTGAGCAGTCTAAGCTAACATTGAATATTTTTATCCTGGTCTGTTTGTGAAGTGTCCTATGAGCTCAGTAGTGTAGTAGAAGTGATTTTAGAATTTTTTTTTTCATCTCAACTTTAGATATTCAGGATGTTTCCCTCCAGCCTGCCAGCCAGCTGCAAATGGCTTTGCAGTTGTCTCCCCCCACTTCCAGATTGGCCTTCTGGGAGAGAATAGGGATTAAGTGAGAACATGGCAGGAATAAAAGCTAGACAGGCTCTCCCACATTTTGTATCAGACTCCCAATCTACAAATCTGGACCAGCTCTTTCCCCAAGTACTTCTGGAAGCTTTTCTATCCATGGTGCTGTAATGTGTAACAAGGAACAATAATTTTAGCTGATTTTTTAAGTTATTTTAGTGAGCACATATATACATTTTGCATAAATAAAGAGAGATATTTAGAACTGTATCTATAACTTTAAGGTGGTTTTTTTTGAAGAATTGTTTGAGTAATACAGGCACAATATTTTTCAGATTTTAAAGGCAAGAAGACTTTACTGTAGAGGACTTCAGCCTGTAGCAAAGGGGGGAAGGGAAAGGGCTGTGAGCAGTATCTGCCATTATTGCCAGAATTTTCTACTGCCAAATCCATAACACTTTCGGTCTGAAGTTTTCTGAAGGACAAAGCACAGCCCCTATTAATTCCCATCTTAAAAGTCCCATCTCCAAAGTCTGTCTTATTCTTTGATGTGTAAAAACTGAAGTGCATCCAGGATGAGGACTCACCTGTGAAAACATGGCAATTAGTTCTGCATGAAAGCAATCAAGTAAAATTCAAGAAGAGGAACAAGCTCTTCTGTCTCAGCTACTGTCCCAGAAGATCCTTCCAAAAGGATGATCAATACTGGGAAATATTTAACAGCAAAGGAATACTTTATTTGAAAAATAAAAGAGTGGTCCTCAAACCACTCAATTTTTGGCCTAAAGGGTTAAAAAGCAAACAGCAGAATAAAACTTTAAAGTGTTAGGTCTGGAAAAAATGGAAATGAGCTGGAATTTGTATTCTGAAGAAGAGCTAAAGTAGAGCAAGAGAAGAAAACAGCTGCTTCAGGAATACAAACACTAAATTTATGAATGCAAGGAGCGCAGTGTGGTGGAGCTGTTCAATGCATTGTGTAAAGCACCACAACTGTTGCCTTAGAATATTTAACCAGGAAGGCTAAAAACTTAGACCAGGCTGGACTAAGTTCATTGGTGGGTTGCCTCCCCATTCTTTTTGATTATTTTTGAATTATTTCTTTTCCTGCTCATGCTCAAGCCTGCAGAAGCTGTGGCAGTCCCAGGCAGTGGCGAGTCTCTGGTGACACTGAAGTGACACCTGGCCCAAGCCAGGTTTGCTCACCACGACAACATCTAACTATGGTACTGCATTCTTACACAGTTCATCTCCTAAATGGCTCCTCCAGAAAGCAACCAAGAGCAGAAATACCAAAACCTAACTCGGATGAGAAAACACAGATTTAATTCCAGGAGTGAAACAAATGCAATGTCATCCAGGGTTGTCAGGGATGTGGGGAGCTACCCATATGCTTGCCATCAAATTTTAACATAGCTTTCTCAGTCTTAATTTTTGCTGTCTGTCTCAAATTTTGTTGCTTTAATCACCCTCAAAACAACCAAAAAAAAGGTACCCTACACTTAAACTTAGTCCAGGCTGGACTAAGTCCATTAGTTGATTACCTCCCCATTCTTTTTTATTATTTTTTAATTATTTTTTTTCCTGCTCATGCTCAAGCCTGAAGAAACTGTATTGCAATAGGCTAATATAATATTGTCTATTTTTTTATATATATTGTCTGCTACTTACCCTCAAAACAGCAGCAGCAGGTAATAGAAGAAGGGGAATTTTGCCATTCTGATTATCTGTTGCTGATTATTCTGGTTATCCTGACCTGCTCTGCAAGTCTGTACCAGCGGCAGGGGCCTGGACAGAATTAGAATATATTAGAATTAGAACTAGTAATGAATACAAAAGGCTACTGAAACCTTCTATCCCTACAAGCATGTGTGTTCTTGAACTGGACCAGAAACAAAACCAGATGAACTTTGACTCATACTCAGGAAGAATTTCTGTCCTCACAGGCAGCACACACTGCTCGATCAGTGAGTGGAATTTGGATCACTGGGTAGCAAAAGGGATCCGTGTATGCCTGGAGAAATCAGTCACTGAGGAGGGGCAGAGTGCTCGTGACATGGCCAATAACTGGTCCTCTCAGGAGAAAATGCTGTGGAGAAGAAATGCCATTTCTGTGCAGGGAGGACACGAGTAAAGCCCTGCTCTCTGGGGCTGCAGCTGCACTCGGAGGAGCTCGGCTCACTGCAGCCTGGCTGGCTGGGTTACACACGCTCAGCGAGGGCAGCAGAGCCTTGCTGCTCCTGCCTCCAGGACAGAACAACTTAAAATCATTCCAAAGGCAGCCAAGCCTGGAGAGACCTCATAAAACCTCTGGACAATCAAACACGACACCAAAGTGCATCTCCCCCGGAGAATGGATAAACAAAGTGCTCAGCAGTGAGGGGATGAATTTGCAGGTGTGTCGTGGTTTGGCACAGAAAAAGAATTTTCTCAGAAGGAAGAGGTCAATCCAGTCAGGGGTTGCTTTTTCATGGGGGCACTGGCATTGTGCCAGTGTCAAACCATGACAGGGTGACACAAACCCACCTTTATCCACAGTCACGCTAAACGAAGATCCATGGGAATCCTTTGGAAGTGCACTTATGGGGGTTCTTGACTCCTTCCATCCTCAGCAGAGATTCATCAATACAAACCATCCTCTTTCTATTGGCTGTGGACAAAAACCTAAAATTAAAACCAATCTTTGTGACTGTTTGCTGAAATAATCAGTTTTATTCTTGTTTACAATTACTCTAGAACATAAAAGAAGCTGCTGGGTACATTATCAGTTACACTCTGCTTGCCAGTCTCAGCTATTTATGATACTAAATTATACAGCCTAATTATAAAACAAAAAGTTGCCAAAAATCAGGGAACTCATAAACTGGGAAAGCAGAAGAGGTAGGAGGGATAAGCCAATGCCATTGGAAGCAATGGCTAGCCTCCTTCAAAAGAATAATTCCACATACTATTCAACAATCAATAATCAGTAAATTTTATCCATTTGAATATAGTTTAGCAGGCACTATCCTGTGACAGCTATTGTCAAACATACTATTATTTTTTTGGTCCTGTTGTAAAGATTTTTGGTCATAGGATGAGTCCCAATTTCTAGGAGTATCCTAAATTGCAAAAAACCACTCTGCATGTTTTCATTTGGATTGCAAATGAAGCAAGGTGCTTTCATACCATATCCTACTTCTTCTGTATAAACACCGCCTATAACTACTTATCTCATGATTTTAATTTAAGAGCTAATTGCCTAAAATTAATATTATTATTATATTAATAATATTATTAATTTTATTAATTAATATTAATTAATATGGCAGATTTTTGTATTTCCCTTGCACGGTTTCATTGCAGGTTTTCAGCTGGAATGGCTCAGCCCCACTGCAGGCTTCCCAAGAAAACAAATTTGTGGCAGCTTGCTGAATAACCCCAGTGCTGCTCAGTCACTCCGAGCTGCTCCATCTGTGTGTCCATCCATCCATCCAGAGAGGCAGATGCTCTCCGAGTGCCTCACCCACCTCTCCCGAGGGATCCACAGCCCAAAAACACTCCTGCCAAAGGCAGGCAGGTATTGTAAATGCAGGTGAACCCAATGGGAAGAAATGCTGATGTCTGACTCAATTCAGAAGGCGGAATGATTTCTTTATTATAACTATGCTACTTATTATAACTATGCTACATTAACTATGTTAATATTCTATATAAAAGGAGAATATTAAAACTACATACTACTTTAACTCTACCACAACTGGTGCCCCGCTCTGAGAGTCCAGCCCCAGGTGGGTTGGATTGGCCACCAGGCTCAAACAATCCTCACCAGAATCCAACCAAGCAACACCCCAGGGAAACAATTCTCCAAACACATTCCACATGGGAAAAACAAGGAGCAGAAATAGAAATTGTTTTCTCTTTCATTTCTCTCTGTGCACCTCTATGAAAAATCCTGAGAGGGAGAGAAATGTGCTGCCACAGGCAGGTGTTTGCTCACCTGGGCAGGTGCACTGCTGGCCTCACAGTCAGGGAGAGAGGGACACTGCAAAGGGGGTGCAGCATCAGAAAATGGGATCACCCATGGAAGCATTCGAACAAGAATGAATAGAAAGCAAACATTCCAGGCAGGAAGGAGAGGAGGTCAGAGATCAGGCAGATCCCAGACTGACAAGCTGAGGTTTTCTTCACACCCACAGATCTACCACCTCCATTGCTTTGCCACTGATAGGCATTTAGGCAACTCAATTATTCTATTATTGAAATTAGATAATGAGATAATTATATAAACTTCCTTTCTAAGCTTGTACATGCTCCACTGACACAGGTTGCAGAAATATTCCTGCCAAGAATTTGATTATTAAATGTGAACTTGCTTCAGCAGAGATGCAGACATGCCCTCCATTCTTTGTCACACATCTGTGCAGCTCTGTTTTAGTTCAGCACAAAGTTGAAGACATGGGATGTGAACCAGCAGCTAATCATTTTCCAAAATATTTGGAATATTGGCTTTAAATATTTATATTGGCTTATAAATATTTCCTTAGAATAAATATTCTCTTTTAACAAGGGATTTTATTCAAAAAGCTTTACTTATATTTTCATTCTCATGCTTTATGATGCACAAAAAATCAGTTTTTAATGAAAGATGATAATAACATACTTACAAATCACATAAGCCAAGGGACTGCGTTTAATGAATAACCCTTGGACAAAGCACCAATGCATTTGAGTAGGTAAATTTCCAGTAAGTTAAACATTCCATCACTTCAGTATCAAAGCTGCTGCCTTGAGCAGCTTTTCACTGCTGGGACATTTGTGGGAGAGTAATTACCATTACTCTTTTGCCAAAATTTGCCAGAATGGGATGCCACTCAGGCAGCAGAATGCTCACGACCAGGATTCCCTCATCTGTCCCAGGGGAACATCAGCCAAGTTCACTCCAGTCCAACTGGTCCTGCACTGTGCTGAATCAAAGGGAATGGAAGGATTTCTTCTAAAGAGCAACTGTTCAGGCTCATATACATTTTATAACACGGTAAAAATAAATTCAATTATCAGAACTGCTCCAACACTGAGCCCTTTCCATGGGCTGCAGCTGTTCCCAAACTGCTCCAGCAGTTTGGGAATGCTTTCCCATGGGATTCAGTCCTTCAGGGACAGGCTGCTGCTCTGTGGGTACCCTGCAGGGCCACTGATGCTGCCAGCAAACCTGCTGCCCGTGGTGTTCCCACGGGGACACGGCTTTTTTCAGGAATGTCCCGCTCAGCTGGGCTCCTCCAGGGGCTGCAGGTGGGTCCCAGCTGGGCTCCTCTGCAGGGAAACCTCTGCCCCGGAGCCTGGAGCAGCTCCTGCCCCACGCTGGGCTCTGCAGGGCTGTGTCTCCTGTCTTCTCACCCCGCAGCTGCTCCCGGGCACAAACTGTGCCCCACATCAGCCCAGATGTGCTGCCACTGTCCCTGCCGGGCTGAGCTGTCCCCACAGCAGCCCCACGGCTCTGTCAGCCACGGGGGAACCTTCCAGCAGCTTCCCTGCTGCAGTAGCCTTTTGTATTCATTACTAGTTCTAATTCTAATATATTCTAATTCTGACCAGCCCCTCCCCACCCAAACCTGCCCGTGCACAGGGACACAGGTAACCCAAGGGCTGTCACCCTGATTGTTAAGATTTTCTAAAGCCTTCTGAGTTTACCTTCTGTTTGAAAACTTTC